GGGCTTGATAGGTAACATTTCAGGTCTTTTAAGGACCGTTAGAATTATGGAGTCCATTCGAAGTTGTTCTTCTTCTTTAGAAGTGAGAAGAAGTGATGACATTTTTCCAAAGATCGAGAAATGAACCTGCTTAGAGCAGCCAATCTTCCGGTTATACTTTGGACTACTTTCATGCTTGTCAGCTGGTCTAGGATGTCCTCGATGTCTTTGATCTTATCAGGATTTACCTCGATCCCTCTTTGTGATACCAGAAAACCCAAAACTTTACCGGAGCTAACTCCGAACGTGCATTTTTCGGGGTTGAGATTCATGTTGTGCTTCCTTAGGATATCGAAGGTTTCCTGGAGGTGTTTTAAATGGTCACCTACATTTAAAGACTTGACCAACATATCATCTATGTATACTTCCATTATTTTACCTATTTAATTTTCGAACATCTTGTTCACGAGCCTTTGATAAGTGGCTCCGGCGTTTTAAGCCCGAAGGGCATCACGTTGTAACAATATGTGCCAAAGTTTGTTATGAATGAAATCTTTTCCTGATCCTCCGGGTTCATCTTAATTTGATTATACTCGGAATAGGCATTGAGGAAACTCGTCAACTCGTGTCCGGTCGTTGCATCAATCATTTGATAAAGTTTGGTAATGGAAATGAGTCTTTCGGGCACGCTTTATTCAAGTCCTTGTAATCTACGATATTCAAAATTTATTATTCTTTTTCGGAACTACAACTACGTTAGCTAGACAGTCAGGATACTTTACCTCCCGGATTGAACCGATGTCAAGTAACCGAGTTACCTCTTCTTTAACAAACTTGTTTATGACCTCGGCTATTGGGCACTTCTTCCGCCTTACCGATGGAATGCTTGGGTCCAATTTAGCTTGTGTACGACCACCTCTAGCGGGATACCTTTCATATCCGCATGCGACCATGCGAAACAATCAACGTTAGTTTTAAGAAATTTAATAAATGCTGACCTGAGCTCGGGGTTGAGTCCTGTCCCCAAGTGAAATTTTCTCTCTTGGAGTTTTTCGAACAAAGCCACTTGTTCGAGTTCTTCTGGTCTGGACTTGGTCGCGTCTGTTTCTTCCGGTACCTGAAAATATCTTGGTACCTGGTGGGATTCCGATGAATCCTCCCCTTTGTCATCTTCGCTTGGTTCGGGAGCAGACATCGGTTCCTATAATTGCTATGTGCTGAGCTCATTCCCTTTACTGTTGGAAACCGAAACCGCGTTCATTTCCATTGCCCCGGGTTGATCTCCTCTTATTTGTTTGATTCCCTCCGGAGTCGGGAATTTCAGTAGTTGGTGATATATTGATGGTACAACCTTCATCTCATGTAACCATGGTCTGCCAAGAATTATGTTGTAGCCCATGTCGCCATCCACTACTTCAAATAAGGTAGTCTTCATGATCCCTTCGGCGTTCGTGGGCAGCAAGATCTCCCTTCGGGTTGTCATACTTGCTAAGCTGAACCCGGCGAGGAGTTTTGTTGCCGGAATGATGCTTCGATTAGCTTGGCTTGTTCCAGCACTCTCCATTGAATAACATTTAATGAAGAACACCCTGGGTCAACTGAAACACGTTTAATCTTAAAATCTAGAACATTAAGAGAAATTACCAGGGCATCGTTGTGCGGCAGATGAAGTAAAACCATCGGCATCCTCTTCCATGAAGGTGATGTCATCTTTGGTGACTTCCTAAAGTCTCTTGCTATAATTCACTGATACCTTTGTCTTCTTGGCTGCCGAGAAGGTTCCACCATTGATCTCGTTCCCCCTGAAAATCATGTTGATAGTTAGTCGATGAGCGTCTTCCCCCATCTTTGATGGTTCTGTATTATCTCGATTGTGGCCGTAATTGTTCTTAGCCCGGTCGCTTAGGAATTCCCTGAGATGGCCGTTCTTCAACAGTGTTGCCACTTTCTCGCGCAGATGTCGGCAGTTCCTAGTTCGATGGCCATTAGTCCTGTGATATTCGCACCATAAATTAGAATCCCTCTGGCTGGGATCAGATCTCATTGGCCTCGGGAACCGTGCTTCCTTGATGTTTCTCATTGCCGATACCAGCTCCACTATGCTAATATTGAAATTATATTCTAACAGCCTGGGATAAGTGGAATCCCGGGAACCCGATACCTCTTTGTCTTGTAACGACCTGTTGTTCCAGCCGCAGTTAGTTCTTCTATCGGGAGTGAATCTATCCGCTGACCGGAACATGATCACGAACTCACGCAATAATTCGGAACCTGATCATGAACTCACGTAATAATTCGGACTCTCCTTGCGAGATTCTAAATTTGTCCGCCTTTCGGTCTTGGACCTTCCTGGCCCCGGCATGGGCTGCGAGCATCTCAAAGGAATCTATTGAGTGTTCGGGTAAGAGTGAGTACCATGTCAAGGCCTCCTTCGTGAGGGTTTCTCCGAACTTCTTCAGCATAACCGACTCAATCTCATGCTAAGCCAAGTCGCTTCCTTTCATCGCCGTTGTATAGGTTGTGATGTGCTCCTGAGGGTCCGAAGTCCCATCATACTTCGGTATGTCTAGAATTTTGAACCGTTTCGGAATCAACTCTCGTGCTACGCTCGGTTTGAATGGAAATTAGATGTACTTCTTCGAGTCCGGGCCCTTCAGCACTGGTGGTGCACCCGAAATCTAGTCCATTCGAGCTTGGAATGCTTTCGCATTCGGGTCCATTCGCTCGTTCATTTCCCTCATGAATCTCATGAGTTCGGTTTTGAAGGGATCATTTTCGTTGTCGTTACCAGATCCGATGTCGATCCCCCGGCTCCGTCGAAGCCGAGCTCACCCCTCGGGTTGTTATTATCAACTCTTTGAGCGGTATGATTTACATGAGTGCCGGGGGAAACAAGGCCTCTTCCATTCGCGTTGTTGAAAGCTCCTTATAATGCCTGATTTAGTTCTGTCATGACCTAGTCTTGCCTCGAGAGATGGACCATGATGGCCTTTTGCTGCTCTCTCAAGATCTTCACTATTTCCTCAACGTGCTCGTCCTCAGCGTCATCAGGAGTCGTTTCCCGCACATGTTGGGATATTGCCCGCCATGGATCGGAGTTGCTACGCCCCCTCGTTGCGAGTGTCATTGATCGAATCCTCGTGTTGAGGCAGATTTTCTTGTGCCTCAACGTTGTGTGCGATGTTGACATCGTTAGCTGTCATTTTTATGATTTTTGCTATGAAACAAAGAATCAAACGAGTTAGTAATATATGCAAGGATCAACTCAATTATGCAGCTGTCTAAGCCCCACGGTGGGTGCCAAACTGTTTACCCATAAAATGGTACAGTTGAATTTGTTGCGTGGTTTATAGACAAACGAACTGATTTGATCCCAAAATGATAAATAAATTAAATGAAAATATAGAACTTAGCATTAAAATCGAAAGAAATAGCAGACAGCCTGGTTCCGGGAGCAAGGCTTTTGAAGACAGTGATAAGAACAACATTAGAGGGAAAATAAAATATTATTTAGCTTGAGAATAATGTGTAGCATCAGTTTTGCCAGAGATTTCCTTTTTTATAATGGTTGTTGAGTTCCCTATTTATAGCTATACCTAAGGAACAAGTTCCTATGATTAAGCCCCTCTTAAATGACCATAATGAGGGTCATTGATGAATGTGTAACGGCCGGCCATGAATGCCAAAATTCTCTGCAACGGCTACATATTTAATGTTAAGGAATATTTTTCATTAAATGTCATCCGGTGACAAACATTCATTTGCCTCCGTTGACTATGTTCTCTTCGGGAGCTACCCGATATCAACTGAAGCTGTTGTCCTCGGTCTTGGTTCTCACTCGCTTCATCTTCCGTCTGCCTCCAGTTCCACGTGTCATGTAATCAGTCGAGCATTTAATATAAATCAATTTTATTCTATACAATATAATAGTAATTTGCAAATTTTTAGCTTGAGATTACGTTTGGCAAAGGCATCCCAAAAAAAAAAATTAGAATTGTATAACTAAATCCCAAAAAAACCGACTTCCTCATTTATTCTTTCTCCCCTTAAGGCCATAACTCCCCTCTCTACCTCTCTTTGTCGTCTCCCTCACCCTCTGCTTCCCAATATTTCTTCTTCTATCTCCTCTCTCTCATATGTGACCAAAGTTTATCGTCGCCTACGAATGTGAGTCGTTAGGTCGTGGAAGGATGAGCGCGGACTTCTTCTTTATACACAATCAAATGGCTCCCGACCACTACGTGCTACCCTTGCTGCCCCATTGCAGCATAGAGAAATCTTGAGTCTTTTATTTTTTTCTTCTTTTTTTAATTAAAAAAATAATTTTAATTTCCGTCTTGTATATCAATGTATCTCTAGCATATATATATTTGTGTATATTCACAAGAAATTATGTGTTATACACTGAGATATATAAAGACGAAAAATAATTTTTTGATATATATTTTAATATACAATAAAGGAAATAAATTTTTAATATACATTTGGATTACGCAAAAAAGAAAAATAAAGTTATGATAAACATTTTCATATACATTATTTGATGTGTTATATATCGTGATTAAATAATATAATTATATTAGTATTATACAGTTTTACTTTAGGAATGGATATAGTTTGAATGTGAAAAACTGGAAAGGATTTTCAGTCACAGTGAATCTATTTTTGTTATTGATGAATTTCTAGTGATAGATATATTTTTATAAAGTGAACAAAAACTATTTTAGATCTGTTTGCTTGAATAAATTTACTACCTAGGAATATTTGTTTAATCAATTAATTAATTACTGCAACGCTTTATAGCCGTATAAAGAACTACTAGTGAGAAATGGCCCGTGCTGAGCCCGAGCCCAAACCTATTAAGTTAGCAATTTATATTATTTAGTGAAATTTTTTTCATAGTGTAGTATTAGGCTATTAGCTCAGTGAAGAGATCTTGTGAGAAGTTCAAATTGTAAGACTTTTCTACACGAAATATGGGCTGTGATATAAATTTAATATGTAAACAAACTATGTTATCAAAGCGCAAAGGGCAAGATAGAAATTGTTTTAATAGTTAAAAAAAGGACTTCAATTTAATATTACATTTGAAAGCCTAACACAAGAACAGCACCAAACACAAACACATTATCGTTTATCTAAACTACTTCAATAGAAAGATCTATTGAATCATTATAGTCTCTTGACCACTAATCTATAAGAACCAAAAATATTCATTTAAAAAGAAAGAACTCTTTTCATGGTCATGGCAGAGATCCAGTAGGGAAGCATGACACCAACAATCAAACCAGTGAAGACCTTGGGGGTCAAAATATAGACGGTTGAAGTTTCAGCCCGACTCACAAAAGCACCAAACAGGGCCAGAGACACAAGTGCAACCCCATTTACTCTCCAGGATCCCTTGCCTAAAACGTGTAGTCTTAAATAGCTACCGTCCTGCAAAATAGTCCTCGGCGAAGGTCAACCTTATGCACCGTCAAAAAGAGAAAAACCACCACTAATGGAAGGAAAAAAAGGTAGTAGAGTAAAAGACATCCCACATAGTTTGATAGCTTACCATCGTGAGCGGGGACCCCACATAAAATGGTGCCATCGAAACTTTAGTTAATGGCCTGTGAGACGAAATATCTTCTCCTCCGAAATGAGAGACTTTTAATCTGACAGAAGAGGGGTTCTTAATATATTCGAAAGCACAAACATTACCTACTTTTAGGTGATTTTCTTCCACGAAAGTCGTCCAACCACTTGTAAAAAAGGCATATTGCTGTCCAAATTTGCATTTTACTGACCAGGAACCCTTGCCTCGCCATAGTTTTAAAAAGCTATCGTTCTGCCAATACTTTCTGGCAAAGGCCATATTCAAGGACTTACCAGAAAGAGAAACGTCATTATCAAATTAAAAAAATAATCACAGAGTAACAGAGGCGGACCAAGATTTTGTGCGAGCGTATTCAGGGAGAGACTACGACGAAAGACAACGAACAACCACTACTAAGAACGGCAACAGACACACCTAACCAACTTATTTTTCTGTTCATAACAGGGCCTTACAACGACGTCATTTTGAAATTGTATTTTTTTCTTGAATGACTTGGTAAAAGTTCAACATCTATTTAATTTAACAAGTTATCTGCTATAATGGAGTTCACAATTTTGTTGAATTTCACAAACAATATTTTAATAAAGATTTATTTCATACATTAAACAATTTAGCAAATATAAATTGCTTGCCTGTGTAACAAAAGAGTTATAAACTAACTAAACAACAAAACAGTTAAATACTAAAATAAATTATCAATTTAAAAAGAAAAAGTAAACTAAACATTAACAATAAAATAGCTTAATAAAATATGCTAAGAGTCAGGATTATGAATCAATAATACTCCATCCAAACTCCCATTTGAAAGTAAAAAATGACTTAATAAAATATATGAGATGCGATTTGAATAGCAGACCTCCAACAAGATAGAATGTTATCGATCAGATCTAAATCATCAAGTGATAAGAATAAGTGCCACTTAATAAACTGGAAGGATAAGTGGTTGCCAAATCATGCCCCAATGAGAAGTCTCATTGCCGGACCACTTAACATAGGTGAAGACGATCACACGCTTTCAAATTACATTGACTGCAACAACAAAATTGACGTCTAAGTTCTAACTATACCAACAAAGCCGAATTGTCCATTTACCGATAGTAGTCGCTATATGGCACATTCTTTACCAAGCAGAATGGATCTTTTTTATGTTTTTCATTTTCCTCTTAGAATAATCTATTATTATCTCTACGGTGGTTCTGTTCTCAATGTATTTGCCAATATGTCTTCAGTCTGTTCAATATCCCTGCTCCTCAGCCTATGTTTCCCTCTATAGTTATTGTGACCTTTTAACAAATAACATGCGCATTGACAGAGTGCTTTGCTAACAGCTCCTAGAGAAAATATTAACATGCAATTGTCTGACATATAGCAAAAGTATGTTTCTGTTTTTGGATACTTTATCCGAAGAGTAAATTAAACTTGAAACACTAAGCAACTATGGAAAGCACATTGTCCATTTTCTAATTTCACGGTGGGCACATATAATGGAATTGTCTTTAACCTTCATATCACCGAGATGGTTAAAAGGAAGTACATTCTCTATTTCTCTTTCAAAATTTTACAGTGGGAACATATATCAGAACTGTATTTGACCTTCATATCACTGAGATGGTTACAAGCCAGGTTTACAGTGAAAGATGAACGTAAAAACAGCAAAATCCTTGCGGATTAGCATAAATTTTATGATATTAAAATGTTTGTTCGACAAAGTTTTAAACAGTTAAAATAATATGAAATAAAGAGGAACAAGACAGAGATCTTGATGTCCCAAGCTGAATCTATACCTTCCTTTCTTTGCCCATCCAAAATTTGAATTGGCTTCCAAGACTTTGCACACAAGTTGAAGAAGCCAATAAAATATTTGGAGCAACTTGTAAACTCATCTATACATGTATTTCTCTGGTCTATCCCAACAGAACCAAAAAATCAATAACAAAACCCTACAGTTCTCCTTTTTATAAAGAGATTTTGCATCTTCTTTTCATCTCTATACTCATAAAAATAGTCCACCTCAAAAAACATAGTATAATGGTATGTCTAAGAAATTACTGACAGCAGTAATATAAACATTTCAATAACAAAAGAGTTTAATTATTAAAATTTTCTACTACAAACAGAACATCTATAGTGGAGGCAATAGATATTATACTCATAAAAGATCATGTGTACCTCGGGTTTTCTGCAGCTAAACTTGATTCATGCCTCACAAAAGTATAATGCTGGCCTGAGTTCATTTCCCATAGGCCATAGAGCTGGCAAATCCTCTTCTGGCTGAGTACCACAACAGAATTAATCTTCTTCTATTTTGATATCCATTTGTGTACGTCAAAGAGCTCAGTCATCAATCAATATCTGTTTTCGATATGACCCAGTATTAAGCAAGGAATATGATTCTTTTTCCTTTTTGGTGTACAAACCGAACCGAAAACCGCACCAAACCGAAAAGTCAAACCAAATTGATTAAAAAACCCGGCTAGGTTTGATTTGATTTGGTTTGGTATTGAGTAAAAAAACCCGAACCAAACCGACATATAAAATATAATTTTAAGACTTTATATAGAATTTGATTTAAAATATATCTAAAAATATTTGAGATCCTTTCATGGGATATAATATTTAATAGAACTATAAAGTGCATTCATTTTTATTTACTTTAAATAATAGATTGTATCACTTTCTTATTATGTGTTATTGAAATGTATTAAAAATCTCTTTGTTTTTTCATATTTATATGTCAAGATTTATTATATGTTTTTCGAATTTGAAGTGGTATTTCGATAATCTAAAATTACATAAAATATATTATTATTTAGGTATCATATTGATTTTTATGTTTAATTATTAAATTTGGTTAACCCTGAAAGCGTACATCAACCAAAAATTATTGGTAGACGACTAAGAAAATAAACTATTATGTGTTACTAAAAATAATTCTCCCGTTATTTCACTTTAATAGATCATAGATCATATGTTTGTTTTTTTTAAGTAAACATATTCACTTATCAAAATTTTATCTATAACTTTAATAATACAAGATTGAAATAATATTCATATAACAAAAAAAAACCTGAAAAACTCGAAAAATCCGACAAAACTGAACCAATCCAAACAGATATAATTGGTTTGGTTTGATTTTGATAAAATCCGAACCAACCCGGTCCATGTACACCCCTAGTCAATTGTACTAATAAAATGTTATAGCAAAAATAATGATCATATTAAGAATATTACAATATTATTTTCTAAGTTAATATTATCGTAGTACATATATACATTTATATAAAATCAAATTAACTGGAGTACTGTCAAATTAGAAGGATAATTCTGTGTCCACAAAACCACTAACACTATAAGAAAAATATATGTACGAGTTCAAACAAAATACCAAATGAATATAACATAAATTACATCCCAATTTCAGAGATACTTGTCATAGATATGCAAAATCTGTGACATGTACCTACCTCGCACATAAAAAATTCTTATTCTCCAAAGTCGCGCGGCTATGAAAAGATACTACTAATCCGTAGACCTTTTTGATTTTGAATCTCCAAAAAATCAATCAACACAACCCAAAAAAAAAAGCACACAAAGGACAGCTTAGTGCACGAAGCATCCTGCATTGATACAGTGTCAGGAGAAGGACCGCGCCCAAGGGGTGTGATGTCGGCAACATGCTCAAATGAAGCATTAATGACTGATTCCACTAAGAGAAAGAAAAAAAGAGACATAAAATATCACTTAACTTACAGTGTAACGGCGACCAACCTAACAACAAAAGAATATATTGGATCTCTTTTTCTTTTTTCTTATTTCGGCAAGAGGACACCAGATTCTTGAGAAAATAATTGGTAAGTTGTCACGACCCAATTTCACTTATAGGTCGTGATAGCGCCCAATACTACAGCTAGGCAAGCCAACTAATAAATTAAACATATATCGATAAAATTTAAATTCAAGAAAAATAATAAGACACCAAATTCTACCAATGTGTGTGCCAAGACCTGGTGTCACAAGTGTATGAGCATCTAGTAGATTATACAAAACTCCAAATACTGTCTGAAATGAAAATAGACAGAATTAAAAATACAAGAAGAGGCACTGGTAGCTGCAGGACGGCTCAGAAAGGCAGCTCACCACTACGCCCCTGGATAACGAGGATGTGCGATGATAGG